ATGAATCATAAAAATGGAAAAAATGCAAAAATTACAAGATTGGATTACCTCTTAATTTCTCATCTAAAAATTAAACGAAATATGCGAGGGGTAAACCACTTTAAAATCTTAGAGACGTTCAACGTTATTGGACGTTGTGTTGTGATTTTTTTCCTTATCAGTCGTTATCAATAAGGAAAAATTGCTTAATCAGTGCTTAGCTACGCGTTGCGCAAGACCACCCTTGTTATTGTTATCCTTAGCCGTTAATTCGTAAGCGATTTTTAATTTTTAAAAATAAGTGGTTTACCCCTCGGAAACAGCCATACATAGTGAAATTTTTAACCCATATAATAACAAACCCGTGTTAATATTATAATATTTTATTACATTTATTTCCTCATCTTTACAATAAAAAAAACTTGTAAATGTGCAGGAACTTTATTTTTAAAAATCATTTTACATGTAAATGTATGTATACATTTAAATTAATTTAGTAAAACAATAGATCTGAGATTGAACATAAAACGAACAAAACCATACATAAATTTACCGTTAAAACGTATAAAAGACTTTTTTTTAGACCAGTTTTATTCAAGGTGCAATTCTTATTTTAAATACAAAGTTCATGTTTACGTTAGATGGTAATACCAAGGAAATTTCCTATGTAACGTAAATTTACCAAAGTTTTATCCGTATTACCATTTTATAAATAAAAAAAATATTTAAATAAATTATTCTATATTTATTTTATATTAAATTAAGACAACAATTTTAATATCATAAGCCAATTTTTTTTTCTGCAAAAATAAAAACCTTGTTTAACTGTTTTACAGCAAATAACTATGAATCTCAATTAAATCCGAAAGGTGTAGCTAAGATGGGAAGAGTAAAAAAATTAATGACCTTCGACCATTATAATTAACTCCTCACTGGAAAACCTGAAATAACCATTATATAGTATACAAGGTTCGCCAATGGTAGTTTAGTTGTTGGGTGACCAGTGTGACATTAGGAATATTTTTGGGACTGTACCTGTAAAATTAAAAATATAGGTAAGCTATGACTAACATTTTTAAATGTTATTTTAAAGAATATTTGAAACATAAATTTTAACAATAGTATTTTAGGATTCTGTCCATTCTGAAAATATACAGTTGTAGGTTATTGTTTCCCTTTGAATTTTAATATGTATTAAACATATATTTAATAAATACGTATTTATAATTAAACACTATTGTATTTACTAAATGATATGCAATCAAAGTTAAGGACATAAAATAACTAATAAATTTAAACTTGAACCCATTAGCCTTTGAAATTTATTGAAGCTTAAGCAAAATTAAACAAAATTTAAGCGGATTTGTGTAATTAATGGTTTTAAATTTATTCTAAGCTTTGTGTTTTTGGTATCTTAAATAATTTATCAATTTATATGTAGTAACCATAAATGTCTATTACAATAATAATTATTATTCTGTTTGTATTTTGTTATGAATCCTTAAGGTATAAATAAAAATATTCTTTGTAAAATAAAATAAACAAGTTTTGAAGTCACGAGTATAATCTTTGGAATTGGAATATTTTCGCACTTTAAACTCCATTTATATTAAATTAGGTGTGTTTTTATTGGATTAGGTATAACGGTCGCATAACGTGACGATTTTCAATGGAATATGTAAAAAAACAAAAATATATGTTCCAGTAATAACTACTATAAAAATCAGGCGTTTGATCAGGTTGATTAAAAATATTTATTTAATATTTACTGTACAAACAAGTTAATATTTTTGCTAGGATTTTTATACGGGTCATCCAACCAAAACAATCTCCATGCAGATTGTTTTAAAATTTTCTTGTGTTATTCTCTACTTCAAAAAAAATGAGCTCTTAATAAACTACTATCTAACTAATAATTTTTCGAATTTACAAGATGTTTTTTTTAATACGATGCTATTTTTTTGGTAAAAAATGCTTAGCTTTTCAATGAAAATATTCATTCTTATTATTATTAAGTAACATAAAAACCTCAAAAATTCAATTAAAGTAAAAAATGCGATTTTTCTGAACTTTCGGCAAGTTTTATTTAAAATTTATTATATATTATTTCTAAATGTTTTGCGAGATAAACTTCTTAGTTAAACTTACAAGGTGTCCCAAGTCGCGCACCACCAGATACGTATTCGGACCTCAAAAACATATTTTTTTAAATGACAACATTCGTTATTTTTACTATAAAAAATCTATTAATAGATTATATTAATATTACATTGACAACACAGGTTAAATGACTTGCATATTTTTAAGCATTCTACAAACACAAAATACATATCACAATACTGAGTGAGTACTAAAGGGTGGGCCATGTTTATGTTGAATTATAAAATAGCAATGAGAACAAGAAAAACTGATTTTTTTTCAACGAATTTTGCTTTATTTGATACAATGGTTCTTCCGATTAAGTATGGAAAATGATTTTATTTAAGTGGCCACCTCAGCTGGCTCGGCAGTAGCCCATCCTGGAACACCAATTTTCGAGCACTTTGTCAAAAGTTTGCTGCTCTATTTAGGCAATTTGAGCTTAAATGTTTTGTTTTAAATGGTGAATAGGCTTTGTTACGGCGACGTGTGGATTTTCCGTGGCCCAAATCCTACAGTTTTGCTTGTTGACATAACCTCCGAGGTAAAAATGCGCCTTATCCGAAAAGATGATTTTTCTTGCAAAATTAGGGTCATCGTTCAACTGGTTTAAAGCCCACTCAGCAAAGCGAAAACGTTGTGGATAGTCAACTTGCTTTAACTCCTGAACAAGCTGGACTTTGTACGCAAATATACCGAGGTCTTTGTGCAGAATCATCCTCAGAGTGGTACGGGAAAGGCCAAATTGTTGACATCTGCGCCGAGTAGATGTTGACGCGTTTATGCGTACATTTTCGGCCACAGCAGCGATTGTTTCAGGTGTACGTCTAGGACGAGCATGCGAAACATGTTTTATGTCCACCAGCATTCCATTTCTGTGCATTTTTTTAATCAAATTTGTAATACTTTGGTTTGACGGCGCCTCATTTCTTCCAAACGCAATTTTCTTGCCGTCTCTGCGATCACAGTCACATTCAAAGTAAGTTTTGAGTATTTCGAAACGTTGATCCAAATTTATTAAGTGCATATTTTGTAATCGGAAGGTTAAAACTAAACCACTGTCAGCAATTCATGGCGCTTAAGTTGAAAGCTTCATTAATAGCACGTAGTTTAAATTTCAACTTATAGATGGCCCACCCTTTACTTACTAAATGAATTAATATTAATATCAAACAGTAACGCTATGAGAATTTAATCATGTTGCCAAAATCATGCGTATTGTTAAAGTTCAAATCCTAAAATAAACAATATCAAGGTAAACCTATTAATTTTTAATATAAAACTTAATGTTTATGCTCTTAAATCTTTTAAATAATATAATTTTTTTGACAATTTTCTAAGATTTCTTCCACCTTTAAGGTGGTGCACAACTTTTGGGAAACCCTATATTATATTATTTAAAAAAAAAAATAGAGGAAATTAGTGTTAAACAAATACATGCCCTCAATTATTTGTAAAAAGTCTTACAATTGCTTTATTCTTTAATTGTGTTTAGAAAAAAAATAACCCCATCGTAAACCAAAATATCAAATATGAAATAAAAATTTCCGCAAGACCAGAAATTTCGCATTTTTCACTTTGATTGCGTTACCTATAATAAAGAATGAATATTATAGTTGAAAAGCTAAAAAAATTTTACAAAAAAAGTACAAAAATTTAAAAAAAATATTGCCTAAATTCGAAAAATCATACAAAAGTACTGAGTATTAGGAGCTTAAATATTCAGTCATTATTTTAATATAAAGAAAAATTGTTTTAATATAAAAAAAATCTGCGGGTGTTACACTCCAAAAAATGTATTTGGTGAAGTTTTATATTTGCTTTTGGTTGTTTTTTGTATAAATAAACATTTTTTAATAAAATTCAATATAATATATATACTAGTATAATACATATTTAAAATAATACTATAATATTTATTACTTTTAAACAGAATTTCTTCTTTAATTTTTATAAAAATCGTACATTTTGTATGTATGTAGGTATAAAGATTTAATATTATTATTAATAACACTGCTTAAAACTAACATTAAAAAAAATACTGCAAAAATATTGTATTATTATAAATAGTCATAATAATTATTTTTTTTCTCTTACTAAATGCAGTATTTTTGTTTATTGATAAATAAATAGAATAAAATTTCTTCTATGCCGCACATTAAAGGAGAAAATTAAAATTATTTTCTAGTTGACCAGTGTAATTGTAAACAAAAATTAACTAAATGTAATTACTTGTGCATTCATTTTAAATTTAAATAAGATTACCAAGAAAATTGCTAAATTAAATTAAATGACATAATGTCTACAGTAAATTTAAATATGAAAGCCATCGTATCAAAAATACATTAAAGCAAATACAAAGAAGGCATTTAATTTTATTATTTCCCTGATAAATTATTCGAAATAATTAAAAGTATAAAACCAAAACAAAAAATTATTTCTTAAACTTCAAAATTAGATCCAACAATCCCTGAACTATATTAAAAAAAAAAATTGCAGGAACCATCAAAGATTTTTTTCTAACACAAATTTAAATGAAATTTTTACAAACCGCATAATTAAATATTAAAAAACATTTGTATACCATAAATTTTAATTATAAATGATTTATTTTTATTTTTATACTAAATTAAAGTCATAATAACCTTAATAATTTGGATTTTTTTATTCAGTTTACCTATATTGATTTAAGGAATAATTATTGTATAACCTACATGGTGAACCACTTAGGGTGACCTATAACTTGATAAATTAGATTTATCTGGATATTGCAGATAGACATCCAAACTAGATACAAACATTTTTTAAAAATAAATTTAATAAGACAATGTATTACTTTTATTTTTAATATATTTCTTTAATTTTTTTTCAGCAAAAGCGACATGATTAAAATATTTGTTACTTTGGCTGTTTTGGTTGCTATAGTCCAATCTTCACCTGCACCACAAAATGAACAGGTAATATCATATATCTAATATGTATTTCATTATGTTGTTATACGTACTCAAAGATATATACTTCCCTGAATTTTTTAGATTAGTTTTTAAAAACTTTTATTTCAGTCGTCTATAAATTTTTTCAAACATTGATAAATTTCTTGTTTTAATGAGAGATTTCGAAAAAAATATTAATTTGTGGCGTTTTAAAAGATTTTTTTTTAATTTCAAGAAAACATTACATAATTTAAAAGTTTCTAAGTTTGGTCCAATCGATAAAAACAGTTTAAAATTTTTTTTTTACCAAATTATGAAAACGTTGATACTGCAAAATGTCGTATGTCAAAAATCGTTAAGTAGAACAAATAAAGGTTACTGTGTACTTTTCTAAAACCTAGAAGCATGAAGAAATATAATAATGAGAGATTTCGAAAAAAAAATTAATTTGTGGCGTTTTAAAAGATTTTTTTTTAATTTCAAGAAAACATTACATAATTTAAAAGTTTCTAAGTTTGGTCCAATCGATAAAAACACAGTTTAAAATTTTTTTTTTACCAAATTATGAAAACGTTGATACTGCAAAATGTCGTATGTCAAAAATCGTTAAGTAGAACAAATAAAGGTTACTGTGTACTTTTCTAAAACCTAGAAGCATGAAGAAATATAGAAAAATTTAGTACAACAAAAATATAGGTTTTTAACATACGACCAGGATACACACACACTGGTATGCTCTTGCGCTTGTATTCTCTTGCGCATGACATGTTGTGTGACGTCAGGTGGATTGCAGCGTTTAAATTTTAAAATTTAATGTACGAATATATGTTATTTTTAAGAAGTGACACTTGATAAATATACTTGCTTATATTTTGAAGAAGTGAAACTTGATAAATATACCTACTTATTTATATTTTTACTGTTACTTTGGGACTAATATTTGTGAAACTTGATAAATATACTTGTTTATATTTTTAAGAAGTGAAACTTGATAAATAAACCTACTTTGGGACTAATCTTTGCATTGTATTTGGACTCAATTATTGGATTGCAGCGACTAATAGTTTAATTACTGAGAACCCCTTAAATTTAATATACGTACCTACCTTAAGGTAATTATAAAATTATATTTATTAGATATTATTCAATTAAAAAAATATATTTTTACCAGCTATATATTTTTTCTACGGTTTCCTCTTTGGTTGGTAAAAATCTATTTTTTTAATTGAATAATATCTAATAAATCTAATTTTATAATTAAAAAATGTAGGTATGTAATTGACACTTACCATTTTTTAAGTTAATTTCGTCCTCGTCGGCATGCTAAAATCCACTGTTTTGACAAATTACTGTCCTTTGGAAAACGAAAATATTTTATTTCTGTTCCTTTTGTAACTCGAACATAGTTTTTACAAGTTGCCACGGCACAGTTTGATATTTTAACTGCACAAATACACAATAACAATGTTTACAAATATTAAAATCACATAATTATGTGGTGAAAACACAATAAACCATAGAAAAACACAAAATAAAAGCGATTAACCTCAAATACTTTCAGACTTCAAAACAGAAATAATCCAGATGACGTAATGCGCAGAAACGACTCATTTTGGTTCGACTAAATAGCATACCAGTGTGTGTATATCCTGCATACGACTTATTAGTGCAATATCAACGACGCTATACGATTTGACCATGGCTGAGTTTAACATTAGACCAATTTACAAAAAGGGCTTTAGAGAACTCTTAACGTCAAATATTCATAGTCATAAAAATATACTTTTTAACAATATGTTAAAACTGATATTTTTTTATAGTTTCCTCCATTGTTTACATTTAATAATGGAAGAGTCGGTGTAAACTTTTTGGGCTACAAGGCCTCAGCTGGGCTTGGTGGACTTCTTACCGGAAATGCAGCTGATGGTGGACTTCATGCATCCGCTGAAACTCCACATGGACAAAGAGCTGGAGCCGGCTTGGGTGGAGTTGTTGATGGAAATGGTAATAAAGGAAATAATAATAATAATCCTGCTAAACAAGAAGGTCAAAATCAATAGTAACATAGTAATACTACCTAATAGTAATCAATAGTACCATTAGTTATAATAAATGCTATGAAAGGACAAAAAATATAACATTGTGTTAGTAAACAGTTTTTTTATTCGCTTATGTAATTTTTTAAGATGTGAACAAGTTCTTTGTTTAACAATAATTTGTTTGAGTTCATGCTCGGTGAAGGTCATTTAAAAAATAAATACAGAAGTAGTCGCTAATTAAATTTAAAAAAAACAACAATCAGGTGGAATTTTCTAATAGTGAGGTAGTTATTAGATTGAGCAAACAGATTTTTAAAGCAAAATTTAATTTTTTTTTTAATTTTAAATCTATAAAACAACCTCACTATTAGACAAATTTGTTTTACCATTATTATAAATATAAGAAGATATGTGACAAAATAATTTTATGGTAAGGTAACGATAAAAGTTATTTATGTTTTAAAGTTGAGAAGTGAGTCTTTTTGTGCTGAGCTCAAAGGTTAAAGTCGGACGGGTTAGATGAGGCCTACAATTGAGAGAAGCACAAAAAGACACGTGTCAGTTGAATGTCATACAACACAAACTTCAAGGCACTGGTTTATTTGCTAACCGATACATAAAAAGTTGCAATTATAATAACAATTACACTTTGATACAAAATTAAGGTTTGCGAAAGGGAATGGAATAAAACCAAAAGCAAATGAAAGTTAATACTTTCCACAAGAAAACCCTATCAGGGTTTTTTTATATCACGTCTCAGTTATTTTTTGTACGCATTTAAAGATGGTAATTTTTTTGACACCATATAGTAGGAAAAACATAAGTAAAACTATGTTAATTTTTCAAAATAATTTTGTCAAAATTTGATCGAGGAATCCATTTGCGATGTAAATTTTTACCAAAGACCCTCAGAAGAGGACGCTATCAAAAATTGTTGCTACTTTTTACGTATTTTTGTTGGTAAAATGGTATTTTTACTATTTTTGACAGTGAGAAATCCTAGGTGATATTTGTAATATTTTTGGTTTATTAGTATAGAAAACTTGTTTTTTAAGAAAAAATAGCATTTTTACGAAAAATTACTTTTTTAAATAAAAAATTGACTTCTTAAACTAAACATTATTAAATTCGATATTTTATTTTTATTTAGAAACTATCACTGCTGTAACCGAGTAACACGAGTTGAAGTACCTGAAGTTTCAGCTATTTATCTAAAAATTAATAAAAATGCAAAACATAATCAATATAATCAAAAATGCGAAAAGAGAATCCATGTTTTAATATAAAAATAAAAACATAACCTGAATTATAACCTGATTAAAGCATTAAAGTGAATATTTTTTTTATAAAAATGCTAAATTTTCTAGTAAAAATGCTCTTTACTTAAAAAAATATGTTTCTATATTAATATATCAAAAATAATACATATTGCTTTGAAATATAATCTAGTGTATGTATATATTTACAACAAGATGAATCTCATTCTCAAAAAAAAAAATATTATTTTACCAATAAAAATACTTAAAAATAGCAACAATTGTGTGACAACGCCCCTACTGTAGATCTTAAGTAAAAATTAACATAAAAAAAGGATTCCTCGACTATATTGCCAGAATAATTTTAAAAAATTAAAATTGCTTTACTTACTTTTTTCCTACTATAGACTCTCCAAAAATCTACCAACTTTAAATGCGTATAATAAACAACTGAGACGTGATTAAAAAAAAACCAATAGGGTTTTGTTGTAGAAGCTATTACCTTTCATTTGCTTTTAGTTTAATCCCATTCCATTTTGCACATTTTTAATAATATATTTAATTTGCAATACTTTTTTATAATATTAAGTAAACATGTTTGTTATAAATCTTATCCAAATTTAAAGGGTTTCCAGTTTTTAATAGGAACAGCACATGAAATCACCTTAGAAATAAAATAAAAATTATCATATTTACAGGTGTGACTAATTAAGATAAAAAACTAGTGTGTAACTAAATTATAATATAAACCTTCAAAAAATAATTATGATTAATATAATAGCTTTTTTTTTAATTTTTGCAATAGAATAATTAAAAATATCATTTTCATATATATAAATATATACTTTGCGGAAATCAAAAGGTTTTGTATTACTCATAACTTTGCGCAATAAATGCAAAAAAACATTCTATAATACAGGATTTAAATAATTATTGTTTTACTAATTCTATTTATTATTGCAGGAAAAACTGCTGGAGGCCTCTACGCCGGAGCCACTGCTGGTAATGGAATTTATGCCAGATCCGGAATTGGCGGTGTCGTTGATGAAACCGGATCATACGGGGGTTCGTATGCCAGTTCGTCCAATGGTGGATTAGTTAAAGAAGTGAGAAAATACAAAGAAAAGTCTGTTGCTCCAGTGACATACCAAAAGGAAGTGCATACGGTTTCAGCTCCAGCTCCAGCTCCAGCTTACATTGAAAAAACTATCAGAGTACCTACTTACGTAGAAAAGACTGTGAAGGTACCACTTGAACAACCCGTTCAAGTTGAAACAAAGTAAATTACTTTTTTTTATAAAATAATAAATACAAACACAATAACCATGCCAGACACGTAAAAAAATTAAGGTGAACCAAACTAACAATATTATGAAAGGGAAATAGAATTTTAAAAAACCATTAAAACAAAAAATTAGTATAACATTTTATATTTTTCATTTTAGTATTTGATTTCTTCAGGTTTGTGCTAAACATTCTCATCAATTAGCATCTATATCAACAGAATTATAACATAGAATATCAATATATAAATATGTGGTCAAATAAACCAGAAAATTTATCTGCATTTTTTTGCTATTTTCCCATATTTTATGCATAAGGGGGGATATTTTAGGCATAAAAATACATTTTTCTGGATATGGGTCGATAGTACTATTTTCGTAAAATAAAACATACCATACGAATAAATTTTGAAAACTTACCTAAAAGTTATGCCGTTCAAATTTGAAACTTAAGTTTAAGTTTAAGTGAATTACATAATTCGATATTTGCCTATAAGTCATTCATTTCAATGTATTTTTTAACAAGAAATGTAACTAATTTGTCAATTTGTGCAACCTGTCTTCAATCTATGAGTGGAACCGGCTAACTTAACTTTATAAATTATAAAAGTAGTGGAAGGTATACCTATAGGCAACCAATATTACTTTAATTTTTATATTTTAATAAATACTTTTAGTTATAATTTAAATTATATTTGTTTAATAAATGTAAAAATTATAGTTTAAACTATCACAAATTTATAATTAAGATAAATTTTCAAAATCCATTCGTTGTTTTGATCTACACTAAACTATCGTCCCATCGAAACTGCATTCAGGTATAAAAAATATTATTTTGGTTTTGAAATTTGTATTTAAATCAATTAACAGACATGCATGCATTTGCTTACTTAGTATTTAGTTAGTAGATTTAGTTATCATGCTTTTTCTATCACTACAGATTCAAGGAAGAAGTCAGACCAGGTTACATTAAAGTAGTTCAAAAAGTAAAAACTCGCCCAAATAAAGTTCATCATCATCGCAAATATGTGTAAGTAGACATAATTTATTAGTATACTAATTATAATTATTAGGTAATAATTATATTTTATGTGTCATTGAATGTAACATATTATGTGTATCTATTGAAAAAACTGTCATATTTTGGAAAAGGGAACATGCAATTTTTACTTTTGGTTTCCACAGGTTTGGACGATTTTAAAAAAAGGTAATTCTAAAGAAATTTTTTAGTCTATCAGATCAGGGTTTTAAGAAAAATGAATTGTTTAAAAATAATAAAAAATCAGAAAATACATTAAAATACTATATGTTACATTATATAGTTTTATGTGCTGAAGTAAAGTTTCTCTAAAAATATCGTTTTTATTTCTTTTAAATAGAAAAGATATTCAAATTAATAATTTCTATTTAAATAGTTGTTTGTATTATTGGTTATTATTTAAATAGGAACATAATAAAAAGGTATGTTTCTAAACTGAATTATTTTTTAGCAAGGTGACATAAACTTTTGAGCGGTTTTTTTCCTGAACCGTCCCAATTTTAGAAATGCTATCATAAACGAAACCTTAAAAATAATGGCGGAAATGGCTTAAAACATGTAAACCGCTTGTAATAATTTTATTTACATTTGTTATTAATTTAATGTAACAATTAAACTAATTTTTAATTAGTCAAAAATAACTTATTTAATAGTTGTTATGAGATATAGTCAATTACATATTAAATGGAAAATTGAATATATCTCAAAAACTGTTCTAGTTTTTTAACTTTTGACGACATTTTCGGATTCAGGGGATAATTTTACATAATACTGGGCTGTTAAATTTTGGGATACCATGGTATCCCATGGTTAACCATGGTACAAGTGAAAAAGCAGCCACTAATAACTATTAAATTAGGCATTTTTGACTAATTCATTTTTAGAGAGACCATACTATTGTTTCTAAGTTTTTTATATTAGATTTGCGATTGTGTAAATAAATTTATATTTTTTTTTTGTTTCATACACTAATAGAACATATTATAATTACAATAACATTGAACCATTTGCAAAAGTTAGAGATTACATCTCGTCCTACAAAATATTTTATTTGGAAAATGTACACATTGTTATGAAAATTTTATAAATAAAAATGATTTTTTTTGGATATGGAAATATGGGAGGCCATTCTATTGGTCATCTTGTTCCAATCCAGTATTCTGGATAATTCTGATCCAGCCAAGCCCTATAAGGTGGTGCCCCATTTTGTTAAAATAAATAAATTTTTATCCAAATCTAGTTTCCTCTCCTCTTTAATTTTCTAATTTATTTATTATTAGTGGCTGTATTGTTTCATCAAACATTTCAAAATAATTTGACCAATTAAATTTTTATCAATAATTGGGTATGATTTTCCCTGATAAGATAAGGATTTTTATTGCTCCAATAACGACAATTTTCTTTGTTAACATTTCCATTTAGATAAAAAATGTTTTTTAGGATTTGGATCTGATTTGTTATTTTATTGGTCATGAGTTCACAAAATTCTAAATGCCTAAAAGCATCATCATTGCCAAGTTCTTGTGTAATATGCATTTTGAATGGTTGGAGACTTAGGGCAAATCCCTGTTAATCTAGATGCCGAACGAATATACACCAAACTGACCAAGACCTCAATTGCAAACACATTCCGTTTGTTCCAATTTTGCAACCAGCTCTTGAACATATTTATGACGAACATTTTTGTCAGGGTGTAGTTTATTAAATGCACCATAAATACATATAATTTCAACACGTTCAGCCGTGGTGTAAATCATTTTGAAAAACAAACAATACTATTTAAAATATTAAAACTAATCATCATGAATGAAGGTCTTTTTTGTGAGTTTTTATAAATCCACCAACATACACATTCTATTGAGGATTTAAATTGTTTAATAATGCCAATATATTTGGCAACAAAAGTTAAAAAAAGACTATTTAAAAATAGACATACAAGTTATTTTCTGCATTTAATATGAAAAAATGATTATTGTTGAACAATTTGTTAATTTTTACTTTTTATACTTTTGTTAGAATTATTTTGTTTGTTTTTTAAGTTTTTTACTAATGTTTTTTGCCCCCAAATATGCTAGAAACGGTTTTAAGAAATTTTTGATATCTTTTTTATGTTCAGATTTATAGAGCATTGCTCGGTTTTAAATAACTCCCAGTCTAAATTATTTTCTTAATATTTTAGATCCTACAACTCTGCTGCTTATCCTGAACCAGTTCCAGCCCCAGCCCTAGGATCTAGAATTAATGTTGCAAATCATGTTGCCGTATCTAAATCTACCAACCCTGAATTTTATGATAATATCTTTAATGTAAGTATAAAAAAAATGTGATAGGTTTTACACGCAATGACTATTTTTATTTTAGATTCCAATCTCAGCTTTGGGAGCAGTCAATAAGTTTTTGAATGGACTACAAGGGTCCACTACAATTACAAAACATGTTTCATATTAAGAATGTTCAATAATGTATTACTAAATCATAAGGTTAATAATTAGTTTATAAATTATTTTATACAAATTCCCTAGCTGAATTTCAATCTCACATCCCATTTCGTTTTATCTAGCTTAATAGCTAGAAACAAACATCGGAAAGAATTTTTTTAATTGTTTTAAATATAAATTTGTCATAAAATGTAAAATGTTTGACAATAAATTTGGAGCGCCAATTTGACAATCATTATTCTTTTACCCGCGATAAAGATATATCTTACCAAATCCAAATTAATTCAGCCGTTTAACAGGATTAAATAATTATTATCCAAACATCTAATCAAGAAATTTTTCCATTTAGAGTACCTATCAGTAGGAACTTTATTAAAAATAAATTTATTTGACCGTAATTTATTAAATCTAATCTAGGCAACACAGCATACATATTTTATTCGTTTCAGTTAAAATTATTTAATACACAGGGTTTCCAGAAAAAAGCATAATAACGCAATAAGCGGTTATTTAAAGCATACAAAATTACAACAATAAATTGTTTAGAGTAGTTTTTGAGAATTACACATTAAAATGTATAAAACTATGTGTTTGATGAGGTTTCACGTTTAAACATATTTATTAAAGAAACATTTTTCTGACAGGAAAAATATTAAAAATTTTAATTTTAAATTGTTTTTATTCTTATATATATTATTAAATGGTTACATAAAAATGAATATTGTGCCACACCAAAAATTCTAATCTGGTTTTGTTTTAAGTAAGTTTATTTTAATAGAGTACTTATTTTTAATATATTTATTTTATTTTAAAAATATAAGAATGTTAAAGTAAACTTCTAAATATTTATTATATTAATAATATATATAATACATTCGTTTCCCTTTGTGGTAAGGGTAATAATAATATATAAATTATATAGGGTGGTAAAAATTTTGATGCTCATCATTGGTATCTTGAAAACCGTAAAAGAATAGAGAAAATTTGAGCAATCATAATTATGGATTAATCCTTTTAAAATAATAAAAGGTTATAAATAGTTATTTCTGTTAATTTATAAAAAACAAAAATTATCACATGTAAACATATATACTTGTCTACATTTTTATCAAATTTTAATACTTTTCCGCCCACTAGAGTTACCATTTTGTTTTTCCGATGACCGCCATATTTCAGTTTTTCATGAATAGAAAAAAGTCAAGGAATCCAACGAATATATACGAATAGATATAATTTTTTTATTTTAACAAACAAAATTTTTTTAAAAATAAATGTGGAATATATTTGGATGTCTATATACGAAAAAACTAAATCTTGTGATTTAGAAAATAAATCATAGTTGAATGACGCTGTCAGAAATACTTGTACTTGTGCTTTTTCATAAATAAAAAAAAAGTTATCATAATAAAACCTAGAAACCCAAGAAAAATTTAGTGGAACTCATTTGTTTGTTAAAATAAAAAAATCATTTTATGGGTTTGTTTTAAACCAAATAAGTAAATATAATATACCGTTGGATCCCTTGTTTTTATGTTATATTCTAATACAGCGCCCATAAGAAAAACAAAAACAGCGGTTCTCAAATAATTTGATATTTTTGATCAAAATGTTTTCAACAAAAATTGTAGATATTAAATTAACTATTTTAAAAGATTTTTAAAACTGTTTAAAAATGTTTATGTAAAAAAATTAAAAATATTTTTAGAAAAGAAAGTGTTACTCTCTATGAGATCTACAACCCTTATAACGTTTTTATTTTTGAATAAAAACACCCTTTTAATATATAACTTTTAAATAAATAAAATAATAAAGTAATAAAGTAAGTTTCAACACAATAATGGTTAAAATAGTAGTATAAAATATTATAGGCCTGAACGTTTCAATAGCATAGTTTTAATGGCAAAAAATTAAAATCATCGTCTCAAAAAATAAAAAAAAAATGATTTATACATATTTTTGTGATTATCTGTGAATATTATATACATAGGTATAATGAATATAAATGTGAATAAATTTATTATATAAAATATTGAACATTTAGATAACAATTTAAGGTAATTATATTTCATTGCAACACGTAATTTGTATGTACAATTTAAAACGCATTTCAAACACTATAAAACAGTTTACTTTGTCTACCGGTATAAGTAACGAATGAGTAATTCTAAAAAATTAAAATGAAACAAAATAACACTTTTTAAATTATATTAACTTAATAAAACTACGTCAAAGAAAGATAAACCACGAGAAAGTGGAAGGAGACTTCAACGGGTAATAGACAACGAACCTGGCCTGCGAATTGCACTCATTCAAATAGTTCTTGCAGTTTGTTATTTTGTGCCGTGCGCTGCAGTTATTATTATTATTACTTGTACTAACTTTCAAAAAAGTGAAACCTGCTATAAGGTATGTTTGCAAAATATTGGTGTTTGTGTTAATTATTCTTATTTAATTTTATTAGTTTTAATAATTACCTTTTTAGTTGGTAATTTGTTTTTGGTTGATATTAAAATAAATTTAAATAATTAAAAGATTATGTGGGTTTCTTAGTAATTACTTATTTTTTATTGTTATACGGGTTAACCCTGATTAAATAATTTTAAGACGGTAGGTATTTATTTGATTTTTTAATATTAATATATATTTTACCTATTAAATATATATAAATATATATTTTAAAATATTTTATTTATTATTAAATCAGGATATACAGGGTGAACCAAGTATCCTTATATGCTTTATTTGAAGGTTGGTTAAAAAGTTGCGTAGTTACAAGACTACAAGATTTAAATTTGAAAATTGGAAAAAACAGCGGTTTTTAAAATATTAAAAAAAACTAAAAACCTGTCAAAATGAACGCTTGTTATATTTTGGTTATGTCTAAAAATTTAAAAATAATAATTTTTGCATGCAAACATACACATTATTCCACATTTTTATTCAATTTTTTCGCTACTATAACTTGAACTACCACCACCATATTTTGTTGGTATAATGGCCACCATAACTTATGTAGTAAGTTTGATACATTGTTAAATAAATACATGGTGTAATATAAAAAAATCCAACAATGTATTATATATTATATATTATTTAACAATGTAAAATTTCAATATGGCGGCCAAATAAAAAAACAGAAGATGGTGGTGGTAACTTCAAATTCAGTAGGCGATAATTTGACCTAAATCGCCATATCTAAAAATGCTTTCTAGGAAAGTTCGAAACTCTCGAAATATGGTCATTTAACATTAATTTATATTTTTAAAACGCTGTTTTTATAGAATGATCAAACTTGGGCTAGTTGTAAACCATTGTACGAGGTGTGTTCAGAAAATAACAGAAATTGTTAAATTTCGCGGGTTCGGAGGGTCCGGTTGTCATAAAATTTTCTTTATTATGTTGGTATACATGTCCCCGAAGTATGATAAAAACTTTAGCTGTTTTCATTGTTTACTTTGTCTGTGGTAGCCGCTAAGGTTGGATGTGTTTTATGAGCTCGGCGATTTTCATTCGTTAAAAGAATATGGATCAAAGAATTTGTATCCAATTTTGCATAAAAAATGAAATAAATTCTGTCAAATGTTAACAAAGGCATATAGTGAGTCTGCTATAAGTGAAACAAGAGTTTACAAGTGGTATAAGAGTTTCCAAGATGGCCGTGAAGACGTTGAAGATGACGAACGCCCCGAACGCTCAAGCACATTAACAACCGATAAAAACATGGAAAAAGTGGAAGAAATGGTTATAAACCATCAGAGAAGTCGCTGATGATGTTGGTATATCGATTGACTCATACCATGAAATTTGTTCGAATGTTTTGGGTAGGAAACGCGTGGCAGCAAAATTTGTTCCAAAATTGTTAAATTTTAAACAACATTTTTGGCCAAGCCCCAGCCTCCATATTCGCCAGACATGCCTTTGTCTGACTTTTTTCTATTCCCAAAAATAAAGGGAACCTTAAAGGGCCGTCGTTTTGCAAGCATAGATGATATTAAAAGCGCAGAACTAAAGGCTATCCCAAAGATCGAGTTTTAGAAGTGTTTCGAGTATTGGAAGAAGAGCTGGCACATGTGCATATTATCCAATGGGGACAACATTAATGTAGACGAATAAATAAATATTTGTTTCAAAAAACGAAAATTCCCGATATTTTCTGAACACACCTCGTATGTATAGTTTGTTGAAGAAAGATATATCTTGCAACCATATTAATAATCCAAACGCATTTTTAAATACGACGATTTTGATAAAATCGATGCGCGTTTATTTATTTCTAAACAACCTGTAGAAAGTGCTTATTAAAAACAAAATAACTAAATAAAGAAATCATATGACCCAATTGACGACAAAATTTTGCTTAGTTTCTTAATTTTTTTATACGAGAATAAATTTGAAGTTATTTTAAAACTTTTGTCAAATTGCCCTTTCCAAAAATTGAGAATTTTTAATACTTTTAATATAAAAAATTGCCTGAAAATGGCAACTTCCAAACAACAAGACAATATACCCTTCTTATTGCTTTAATATGTGCTAATTTTTTTAGTATAATTTAAGCATGCTAAATTCTAAAACTGACCTTCATTTTTTTAAATTTTTTTATTTTAAATTAAATTTTAAATACTTTAACCAAAAATCTTTAATAATGTACTATAGGTCCTAATTAAACTAAAAAAATCATGTTTTTAACGAAACGAAGAATTTGCCACCGATTTTAATAAAATTGACAAAATTTGTTGTTTAATCTTACAACTTTTTTGTTTTAACGCAATCAAATAAAAATTGGCAAAATAAGACTTAAAAAACCGCGCGTGGCACTTTCGCTTCTGTAGCGTTTGTACTACTCCTTAAAAAATTTTAAGAAAAGGAATAATTTAAATAGAGAATCAAAAAACAAAAGAAATTTTCAAAAAAACATGTATCAAAAAATTAAAAATAACTTAGATACAGACCTCCAAAGTTTCAACCCAAAATTCGTTTATTTCTCATAACTTCTGAACCGTTCGACTAATTTGGCTTAAATTTTACACATATAGTAAGGAAATACTGACTTACGTACTGCCTATAACAATTCTTTTCAAGGCACTCCAGTGGCGTATATATGTGGAGTGAAGGTTCCTTTTTTCGGACCTAAGTTAACGCCACTGACCTTTTTAAAAATGTACCCTATTTTAAAATTCTGCGTTCAACTAGAAAAAGAAAGTTATTTTGGTAAATTTTTTATTAGTGTTTTCGAGTTTAAGTGTTTTTGAAAAACACATGGAATTCATACCTTCTTGAAAATGGGTGACAAGTAATTGCTTTACCTTAGCATACATTTAAAAATTGATGACATTTCAGTAAACAGTATTTGTTGGTACTTGTTGTACTTGTAGAACTAACTGCGAAATGCCCTTTGCTTTCTCCAATCAAGAGTATGCCGACATACATTTTGTTTATGATTTTGCAAACGGGAATGCCGCTGAGGCATGGAGAGGCTACGCAAACCGTTTTCCGCAGAAAAGGTTGCCACATGCGCGTGTATTTCGTGCAGTACATATGCGCATTTGCTAAACTGAAAGCTGCAACATTATCAATCCAAGAGGTTGAAATGTAAGAGGATGAGGTGATCAGCAGCAGCAAAGACCTTTAAATGGTGTACATTATGGCATTACAGAAATAATCCGCACACAAGTCTTAGTCAAAAAGTTTGATACGAAGAGTTTTACGAAACGACAGGATGCCATTTTTTAACCAGTGCAGCGATTAGAAAATGGCGACAATACTACTGTGAATACTAGGAAAAAAAGGTAGATTTCTGCAAAAAATTCTGTGGACAGACGAAGCCATTCACGAAAAGAGGGGTGGTAAATTTACGCAATATTCATACATGGGCGTACAAAATCCCCATTCCGTAAGAAAACTAAATTTTCGAAGAGAATTTAGCTTCAATGTGTGGTGTGCTTTATTTGGAAATCGCCTCATAGGGCCTCATATTCTTTTACCACGACTCAATTCTTAACTGTTCCTAAGATTACTTCAGTATGATCTTCATGAATTGTTAGATTATCTACCACTTAATATGAAATTAAACCACTGGATTCAGCTGGACTGGGCTCTGGCTCACCACGTATGAGTAGGAAATGGATGAATAACAACTACAAGAAAAGTTGGATAGGACGTAGTGGTCCAGTGGCTTGGCCTTTAAGTTAATATAAAATGTTAAAATATTGACGTTGAATAACTATTTAATAGTTTTGTATTTTATATTGGGATTATAATAGTTATTTATGTATTAAGGGCATAATAAGGTTTTTATGGTCCGAGGCGCTATTAGAAAAGCGTCGTAGGACCATAAAAACCAGTTATGCCAGCAATGCATACAAAACTTTATGCACGATTAATATATTATTATTTTTAATATATTATTGTTTTTAAAGACGTTTACGTCAAAGAATTTTTGTTATAATTGTCATATTATAATGTTAACTGACATCAGTCAGTTTTAAAGTTTAAAGATGAATGAAATTGAGGAAGCAGCTGAAAAGGCGAAAAATTGCGGCCTGCTGCCGAAAAAATCAAAATCTTTATACGAAAAAACTTACTCCGAATATATCAAATGGTGTAACATTGTTGTTTTTAATTTTTGACATTTCATTATAGCCCGCTGGGTCATAATAACGCCCGCGGGCTATAAAAAGACGTTTACGTCAAAGAATTTTTGTTATAATTGTCATATTATAATGTTATCGTGCATAAAATAATTTTTACATGACATTAGAAAACTTTAAACTAATTTTATCCTGTGACTAAAAACCTGTTGGCAAGTTAAGCCAATGACTAAAAGGCCAGAAGGTCAAAACTTTTCAAGGTGTATTTAAAACATCATGAAAACATATACGCCAATTGTTTTAAAGGTGATAGTAGAAAAAAGTATTTAAGTTTAACAAGTGATAATACTCTTTGGAATCCAAGTATGGATAAAGAAATAGGAATTAATTTTAAATAAAAAAATTTTGATTCATTAAAAAAATGGTCCTTAACAACATGTTTTAAAAACAAATAAGGAATATGGTCTCCTCTGATATTTTTCATGAACACTTCATAAAGGTCCAAAATTGGATACATTGCCTATTGACTTTCAAGTCTTGAGTAATGAGATTTATCAGCATACAACAAAAATGTAGCCCACAAGAAGTTTTTAATTTTATCGAAGAAATTATCACTCATCATTGTCCGGTAATGTTGGTCACTAAAAGTAATGCAAATACGTTAAAAAAGGACAGATAAGGCCCCCATCAAGTGTAAGACTTGAAATGTATCCCTACTATGACGAATAGCGTGCTCAGCTGGTTCATAAAAATCACGTAATATATAGTTTATGGGATTGAAGATATATTTTTAAAATAAACTTAAATAAAATGTATCCC